AGTTATTTGTTGCCCAATCTGAGTGCTACTAGTACACTGCACATGAAGACTAGCCTGAGGTAGATTCCTCCCTGATTGTTTTAATAATATATTGCAATTAATATTGGGCATCACATCTTCAACATTGCTGAGTTGTCGGAAGACAAGTTGTCTGGAGTCACTCCCATGTCTCGGAATGCCAAGTTGTCGGAAGGTTCAAGTTCTCGGGACTCAGTCTTCCAAGACATTGTCATATAAAATGACAAAAGTTCTCGGATTGTGACAGGTAAGTCCGCGGATACAGGTTTCTCTCCTGGGGGTATTTTTTCCCCGTTTCGAGCGCCATACCATACCTGTTTGCGCTCCATCGTGCCCATCTCCTTGATCATCGCTGGCATCCAGAATTCTGCATCTTGCATAGCCTCGCGATAGTTCCCCGGAATGGGGCGGTTAAGCCCCTTTTGCGGCACTGGCCAATATAGCCACAGGTAGGCAGGCAGCCAGACATGCGACCAACGAGTGAGGGTCCCGGATGTCGACACTATTTACGGTGGGCCGTTTGCGGTCGTGTGTCCAGTCCTCACCGGCAAGTCGCGCTGCTAACTCGCGGTCGGCTGCTTCTGCGCTCTCAACCTGCTTCTGTGTTGCATGATGAGTGCGGCTAGATCGCCATGGTGCAGGTGGAGGAGGCCGGGCAGGGATTCGGATTACAAGTCGTTCCTGATCTGCTGGTGGTTCAGGAGGAGGCCGAGCAGGGATTTTAATTGTCAGTCGGTGTTGGACTACCGGCTCGACTGGAGATGATGGAGGCTCGGGAATGTCAGGGGTATTGGCGGTGTCAGCGGTATCAGAACCGTCCGTTGCTTCAGAGAATACATTCTTGTCGCTCTCTGATATGGGTCCCATAGTGTTCTCGTCATCCGCCGTAGGGCGGGGCACCAGCGGTACTTCGTCGAATTCCACATCACGAACTTCAAATACCCGTCGGCGTTAGGCAATGGCACGGGTAGGCCATACCCGCGCGGGTACGCGGGTTTTACCCGCGCGGGTACGGGTGCGGGTCAGCGCTGGCCATACCCGTGGCTTGATGACTCAGCTGGGTTTGTTCCATTGTGGTGTTTAAGATGCTCTGTGTTCGATTCTGCTCTTGCGCAGCATTTTTATCCCACCTTCCGGACAAATAACTAAGCTGTCTCTGACATGGCTTCCTCCGTGCCTGCCCAACCCATGGGTAAACCCATACCCGTACCCGCGGGTATGAGTACTGTGGCTGTGCGGGTACGGGTGCGGGTAGGCCCTCGGATACCCGTGGGTATACCCGTGCCATTCCCTAGTCGGCGTTCAGGGTCATAGACCCGATACCCTCGTCGCCCCATATAGCCCACCATCCGACCAATCCATGCCTGGTCTCCTAGTTTCCCCGCTCGATGGTCCAGGTCCGTGACATAGCATTTCGATCCCCATACTCGCAGGTGTGAGACGTTGGGTTTGGACTCTTTGTTGAACCAGATTTGGAACGGGATTTGCCCTGGGTGACAGGATGTCGGAATGAACATACGCACATATGCATGGGCAGCTGCAGCCTCTGCCCACCATGCCTGTGCCATGTTGGCGTCGATTAATTGAGTTCGCGCTCCCTCAATGATTGTCCGGTTTGACCGCTCAACATGACCGTTGGCCGCAGAGGATGCCTTCGGTGTCTTCTCGATGCGAATCCCATGTTTTTGGCAATAAGTGCGGAAGTTGTGGTTGATGAATTCGCTCCCGGGGTCGCAACGAATGACTTTGAGTTTGCGGCCTGTCTGACGCTCCGCCTCCACATGCCATGCACGAAACACTCCCAGCACTGTCTCACTGGACTTGTTACTCAGGAACTCGGGGAATTTACACCCAGAGCCACCGTCTGCCATGACCATCATATATAGCGCACCACCCCAACTCCGCGTTCGCGCTGGTCCGAACAAATCAATATGGACACGGTCAAGGGGTAGCCGTTCATGCTCAACCTCATCGTCGAATGGCCGACGGGTTGCTTTCCCAATTTTGCATGGCTCGCATATTGAGTGGTTGCTAGTCCCGCGCTGTTCCAATCCGTCGACAAGGCCTGATCGCGCAAGTGCTTGAACAGCCCGTTGGTCAGCATGCCCAAATCGTCGGTGCCATGTGTAGTCATCGGTTGGTTTATTTAAGGATGAGCGTGTTGTCGTAGCATGGATGGTGGTTGATGGGTTTCGGGGTATGACATCGACTTCATATAGTTGTCGATCTGCCGATTTTTGGGCTAGGCGGCCACTCAGTACTGTCTTGCCTGACTTCCGATCCACGACGTCAATGGAGCCACTCCCCCATTTCCCAATAAAACCCTGCTTGTCCAACTGGGGTAGCGAGATGAGGTTCATACTGAAGGACGGTGTGTGTTTGGCATGCAGCAGAACATTATGAATGCCGCCCCCTTGTACCCGGACAGGTAATCGTACGGTACCAATCCCAGCAATGATGAAATCATTGTCCGCCGTTGACCCTTTCTCAGACAGTTCCGAGTATGTTTCGAAGTCTGCACGGTTGGCAAAGCAGTTGTCGGTTGCACCACTGTCGATGTATGTTGGGTATGATTGGGAGGAAGCAGTACTTGTTGTTGCGAGAATCGTACACGAAGCATGACCGTATATACCCTTGTCCAACCCCCCTCCCAGCGCACTCAGAATGGAAGGATTCCGCCCGATGCGTCTGGGCTTGTCATTAGGGGTTGTTGGTGGTATGCCAGGCTTCATACCTGAAGACGTGCTGTATTCGGAGAGGGCGAACGTTGCGAGTGCGGTTGTCTTTGCTTTGTTCTTCAGCTTAAACCACTCGGGGGCTTCATGCTCGAGCCTGCCTCCAGGGCTGTAACATCGGTCTGTGATATGACCACGGCGCCCGCAGTTGCCGCAGACAGGGATGTTCTTGGCCTTGGATATACTGGTGGCGGCCAGTGCTTTTGTGAGCGCGTCCGTAATAGCCGTGGTTACTGCATCTGGGAGTGGGGTGGATGTTGCGAGAGCGTTGGTGACAGAAGGGGCTTGTTTAGGCTTGACGACGCTGGTCCAGAAGACGAGCAGCATATTGCGGACTTCCTCGAAGTTGGTTTGGCCATTTGCGAGCAGGATCACCGGACTCCAGATTCCGTCGGTCGGAATTGAGCGAACGAGAATGGTTGCTAATCGTTCTGAGGAGATGTCGCATCCGGCGTCGTTCGCCGCTTCCGAAAGGGTTTGGAGGTTTGCAACGTGTTGCTCGAAGTCGCCGCCAATGGTAAACTTTAGTGAAAGTAACTCGTTCTCGCGTGCCGATTTCGTGAGCTCGTGGGTGCTTCGGAACTTGGTGGTTAAGTGCTTCCACATCACCACTGCGGTCATCGTCTCCTTGATACCATGCGATGTCGGCGACACGATGTTGCCATAGATGAGCGCCGCAATCCAACCATCTCTTTTCTCGTACTCCTCGTCATCGACCTCTTTCACAGATGCTCTCTCCTGCGCGGGAACCAAGTCTGTGTCGATTGTTGCGCCTGCGGGTATTGTCTTGCCGGTTATAACACCAAGCCATCCTTTGGCGCGAATGGCAACCCAAACGCGACCACGGTATGCTGTCCAATTGGCTGCTCCTGCAAGCCGGTCTTTTTCTTCAAAGCTCGGGACACTCGGGGTCGACGAAGCCATTCAGACTCTTAATCTGTAGAAGAGTATACTCAGTCGCTATAAAGGAAGAACGACTCTATTATACCTGTAGAAGAGTATACTGTACATTGGTCAATATATATATATTGTAAGGATGAGAGTGCACCGTACCTCAGTCGCTATAAAGGAAGAACGACTGAGGTACGAAGCTTTTGATCCAGCCTATATGTACTGAAGCACGCCACCACATGGTCGGACGGCGATCTCCCATTCTCTTCAACATGGAATGGTGGTCAAGAGCAAGTAGCGTTGACAAGCGATCAACACTCCTTATTCTCTACCACCACTCTCGATGATTGCAGTTTCTACCACTCATAATATGGCTCCTGGAACACTTTCCACTCATGAAAACACTCGCATCAGCCTGCGCGTCGACGCCCATGCCACCATCTCTGGAGGGAAAAGTTCAGGAGGCGAGGTGGTATGGTACCAAGGTGCGTGGCATGAATTCCAATATGTCTCTGTCTTACTCCATTCTCCCCAGCGTGTACATATGAAAGCAACCTCACCTATCCTCGCCGTAAGCCTGAGCTGCATTCACCAACTCAAGTACTAGTATATCGATCCACGAAGTTTACGCCACATTCGACCAGCTAGCAACCACGCGCATCCGTATTGAGCACCAGTACATCATCCGCTGCCTTGGCCATGAGAAGCATCGTGTATCCTTGGATACAGATCTCTTTTGCTGGCTGAGCTTTGGCGCAATGAATAGGGACACTCTGGCTCCTACTATATCCCTTCTCGCACGACTACACTGCTGCATGTGAAGCCGTAGCACAAGGCCCTCTCCAAAGACGCGGTATTCGCTCCTTACACATTGCCTTTTGACCAGTACGGTGAATCCCACTTGTCGTTTTTCGAATGATCTTACTGACTTCCATTTCTATCCTAGAGAAAGGAACTTGTTTGTTTTCGCTGGAGCAAATTGCAGCGACCCACCACTTGTTAAACGTGGATACCCCACCCAGCTCAAGTAAGTCCAGCGTTGTACCACCATCTATGATGTTACCGGACATAACTTAACGCAATCTGTCAACTCAAGAGTGCGATAACGAGGTGGTTAAAAGTTAACATGACTTGAATATCAACTGGAATGTGCACTTTACTACAATCACAATGTCGACGCGAATGCCGTGCCTCCAGCATGACAATAAACTACATCCACGCGCTCATAACTTCGACGAAACCATGCCCAACACTTCCACCCCAAAGCCCGGTCAAGAAAAGTTAAGCGGAGGGAGGCCAATGAGATTCGGTCCCAGGTACGGTCGAAAGGGCAATATACGTCCCGCTTGTCGCGATTTATCGTGGATTTGCGTGGCACGTGATCTGGCCATTTTGGGAAGGATGGGCGTCCTTGACGGTGTAGATGGCGAATGCTGGCGCTGGCACGGGATATGAGATGAAGACTGCGAAGGCGGAGGGGAAAGATGCGGTGATTGGTGAGGGGCGTGGCTGTTTCGTTTGGCCGTAAGGTGGGGAAGCGCTTGTTTTGAGGCTTGCAAATGATTTGCTTCGGGAGCCCGATTCGTCTTCCCCGACTCTACCCAACCACCTTTCCGACCTTCCTGGTCCAAACATGAGCGAGAATGGAATGTGGATTGTCCAGTAGAGTTTGAAGGATCCAAGCATGACGTTAGAACGAACACTATCTTAAAAATGGGTGTGAGGACACACATTCAAGCAGTGAACAAGGCAGACGCACTCTGGGAACTCTTTATTATCCACCATTGCATGCATGCACAAGGGCGCTTGAAAAACTGGATTCAGATGTCGCCAAATAGACACGCGCTGACGACGACCAGACGAGAAGAATGACTGGCTGGGTGTATCATAGAAGGGGTTTCTCGAAAAATTGACGCTGATTGCCAATCTAGAGGAAGAAGGGTCGGTTAGCGAAGGGCGGCAAGAGAGAACAGTCGCTTGACGCACCAGTCGGGCAGCTCTGCGTTCTACCGCCAACTTCCACCACTCTCGCGGGTGCAGCCATCCTTTCTGACCATGACAGTCGGGGCCATAGCGTGTGTTGCAGTCATCATCGATGCTCGTGGTTAAGAAGAAACAAGACACGCATGACTGTCACATCCATCGTCGTTTGGCGCTAACCACTATGCGTGTCGTTCTCCTCTTGAGCTATGCCAAGGGCCAAGGCTATTACTCCGACTCTGACCTTTCTGGCAATTAATTCCAGCCCCTAAGCTCGCGCCTGACATCTTGAATTCTTGTGAGCTACTAATTGGTACAGCATGTCCAGGTTCTGGTACTAGTACGAGATCGGTCTCTCACTGGACAGCTACATGCTTTTTCTCCTCGCACTCACATCGCTCGCGCCGAGAAACGACACGCTGGCAAACGCCTCGCCTGCAGAAGCTGGCTGCAACGACATCCACAATTGTAGGACTTTATACGACATCATCTGGGGCTGCTTGGTGACCGTCTTTGCCTGTGTCTGGGTTTCGGTCCACCCAAATGTCCCAAAACGACCCGTTATCCCTGAACCACCCGACAACAGCTGCATTTGGGTCCGGCTGCGCTGGCAATGTTTCTATGGGACAAATGCTTTCCGGGCCCGTCTCAAACTGATGCTGGCAGGCGTGCTCGCACCGGAGCTGATCGTTGGGCTGGCGCTGAGACAGCGGGCGATGGCAATGAGATTTGCTTCGGGTGAGTGCAAGCTATTTTCTCTATTTATAACGACTCACGTTTGGTCAATGTCAAGTCCTCAATGTTTCGATAACACATGGGTTTTTCATCTGCATGGGTGGCTTCGTCGACAACGACGGCCACCCGCTCGTCTCTTGGCAGCAGCTCATCGGTCGGCAGATACCGTTTTGGGCGATTGGTGGCACGAGTCACAGCCTGGATGCCCTTCGTCGGATCTCCCGGAATGCCATCCGCGACAAAAGCAAGGGCGACATTTACACCAAAACCATTGCATTCTGCCAAGGCCTCTGGTTTATCCTCCAGTCCCTGACGCGGCTGGTGCAGCGCCTGCCATTGGCCCAGCTCGAGGTCGCGACGCTCGCATTCACAGTGCTCAACGTTTTCACCTGGGTGCTGTGGTGGGACAAACCGCTGGACGTCACTGAGCCAATCGTCATCGAACCACAATACAAGTCCGTAGACTCTGCGTCCATTAGCGGCAACACGGCCCAAGTGTCCAGCCCGACCAGTACCATCGGCACCAAGTTCCTCCGCATCCTCGGCATTCCCTTTCGCCAGGGCGGGGATCCATTCGACCCGACACTGGGATATGGCGTGCCCACCTTTTGGTATGCAGCATGGAACGATGCGTCCTTCCAAATGGAAGAGCGGTGTCTCTTCCAGGAGTTGCTCATTGCGGGCCTATTCGGTGCTATTCATTGCGCGGCCTGGAACGCCGCCTTCGCTTCCACTATTGAAATGTGGCTCTGGCGTGGCGCCGCGCTGTTGCTCGCGGTGATTCCTCTGGCGGCTGTCGCGCTACTCTACTGTGACATGCGGAGCTCCAGAGACTATCCAGACTACTGGTTGCCGACATTTATCAAGTGGTCGCTGCTGCTTTATGTTCCCAGTCGTCTCATCACGTTACTCATCCCACTAATCACGTTGCGCACTGTTGAGCCATCGCTTTATGTGGATATTAGTTGGAGTACCTACATTCCCCACTTGTAGTATGTAGATCAACTTGAAGAATATAATATCAGTAGGACCATTAGAAAACACATCCATCCATTCATCTGGAGCCCGTGCGTACTAAGGTGTGTTCAGTGAGAGGATGTAAGTCAGTATACCAGTGGCCATTGAATATCTTCTGGCCAAGCTTCGTTGGTCAAGACGAAGTTTTGATCGGAGTGACGCCACAACACTGGTTGTCTTCAACCACCACTGTCTTCTTACCCTATCGAAAACAATGCAGCCGAATAGCGTTGGAAATACTTGGGAGATCTATCGCTCATCTCGATGGGTCCTACGACGCCTCGGTTCTGCCTCTTTTCGCCACAAATGACAAGTCGGACTTCAATGCAAATCGTTCCAGACCACAATCAACCCCAACGCACTAGAGGGGCGAGTCCGACCCCGATGAACCCAGTGGTGGAGAGCTGCCGCGGGGAGAGTGACTTCGCCATTGACTCGGAATTGGAGAGAGGAGCAAAGAGCCAGGCCAAAGCACCACCAATATTGGGCACTATCATCAGTGCGTCGTCTTCCTCCCCTCTGCCTCGTTTAGCTCACCTCTGCCCAGTCTGCCACGCTAAACCTGTACCGGCCCACAGCGCAGTGGACAATGAGATTTTGGCCCCTCACAACACCTCGGGGCGAACTCTTAACTTCCTCCTCCTCAAGTCATGCTCCATTGCTCCGTCCCACTGCATCACAAGCCGTTGTCTTCGAATGCGTTTTTGGCTGGTGCCGGGAGAAATTGGTGTCTTGAGGGTGTGGCATTGGTTGGGCTCATTCTGAATCCGAATCTCCTTTTCCCCAACCGAACAACTTCCACTCGGCAATCCACATGCCCAGCGTCCAGCGTCTGGATACTGGAGTCATACTTATGTGGCGGCTTGTAGCTGGCAAGGAACACATGCCTCCCATCTCGCTGGCGGGGAACGTTGCTGTACCTTATGCTTTCATGTATACTGCCGCAGTATGTGTCTCTCGCTGCATCTCTTACTCTTTTTGACACAGTCGCAGACTCGCAGGCCCGAGAAAATGCCCGCCACACTCAGCTAACCCGCCTATTGTCCGGTCCACACCTTGAATATCAGCTGCGTTGGACACCGGGGGACCGCGGTATCGCTGTGAATGTCGTTTGAGGCTTCAAGCTCAATTTTCACCCGGCCTGGTCACCGTATGGCCACAGAAATTGCTTTTCGGTGGTCGTATACATGCTACGCAGATTATCAGCCCATGTTTTGCTCTGTCTACGAGATTTTGAAATGCTCTAGTTAGGGGAAAACGACGCCATCTACATAGCTCCTGTGTTGTCGCTATCATGCATTGTCGCGCTCTGACTATGCTGGGTCCTCCCGGTAACTACCCTGTCTTGTTTCTCCTGGCATCGGTTGATTCCAATTCCTAGAAGGCTAGAATCGCCTTTCTTCTGCCTTGATTTTCGTCCCTTGGATTCCCGCTGCAGTACAAGTGGGAAGATTCGGACCACCAGTAACTCTCGCCTTACCGTGGCATACGAAGAAAACAGATTTTACAAGTCTGGCCCAGGATGATTCCCCCTCCGCCCGTCGTGCCCATAATCAACTCATGGAATACCCCCGCCACAGGCCATCAACGGAGTCGGTGTACTCCCTTCCCTTCCCTTCTTCTTCCCCATATCACAAAACAACAACTACAAAGCTTTCCGAGCTTCTCCTCACGCGAACTCCGCTTTTCATCATCCCAACGTCCCACTGTCAAGGAGGTCGAGTTTTCGGTCTTCATTCTCGACAGATATGATTCCCGCGACCCGATCTACATCTGCCCTGGCACCGCCCTATGGCGAAACATTAGTCTCAAGCTGGGTTATCCGTGGAAAGGTCGGCGGCGGGCTCGTTCTTGCAGGTAGCTCGCAAACGACCAAATGCACTTTTCGCTCCTCAATACTGGTCTACAAGACGAGCGAGACTATGTACTATAACCGGAACCTCGCACCGCCTCTTTTGAAGACTGGCGTCTCTGCTCTACGCTCAAATTGAGCCCGAAGCAAAACTTGACTCAAGCAACGTGGATTACATAAAGAAAGTGAAGCAAAATCCTATGCCAAGACATTTTACTCGCAAGCCCTCTTGCGCCTGCGACTCCCAGTCTGTTTCTGTTCTTTCCCTTCTTCTCTCAACTGACCGCAGCCAGACGGTCCTGGAAGAGCTCCAACGCAGCTTGTATGACTGCTTTGGCGTTCGACTAGTCGAGTTACGCTATTTTGCCTAGCGAACAAGCTGCGATTGTCTACGTTGACCGTCTTGTACTCTTTCATATCCACACGTATCCGCCAGCTATGTAGTACGAAACAGTGCTAGTATAAGTATGTGCCTATGCGATTATGTACTAGTATGAGGTATGCAATGCTGATATTACGCTAGGATGTTTGGTCAAGGAGCAGTTGTGGATGAGCAGGCTGCCCGCATGGATAGACACTGTAATCGATGAAACTTGGAGAGTGTCGAGAACCACCTGAGCGACGCCGACGCGTCAGAAAGAACAGACGCTGGAACTTCTGTTGGGTTCCAATTCATGCATGCAGGCCGGACAACTCCTTTTCACATTGTTGCGAATACAAGCGGCAAGAAAAGCGACGCCAAAGGTGGTACGACTGGAGGATGTCTTCGGGATCCAATCTGGGTCCCAAGTACGCCGGAGGTCGATGATTCAATACCAGGTGACAGTACCGACGGTTTTTCATCTAGGCCCTTTGAACAAACAAGTCCTGAGACGCAAGATGCCCCTAGCGGTTGCGCGAGGCAACGCACGCATCGCCTTTTCTACGACATGGCGGGCATGCTCCGGCAGACCGTGGGCGCCTTCCTGCACCTCGTGATCGAAGTGCCACGTAAAGCAGAGCACGCGCGGGTGCGCGCCGAGCGCGGCGTCCAGCGCGGCGAGCGATGCCCGGTCAAAAGGGTCCGCGGGCCACTCCGTGCTATGCTTCGAAGGGAGGATGAACGCAAAGGTGACTCGGGCCAACGCGGGTGCTGTGCTCGGCGCAATGATATCGATGAAGGGCCGCGGGAGGTGCTTCGTCCGGGCGCGGAGCGTGCCGAGGTGCAAATACAGCTCCGTGAGGAGGGGAAGGGAGGCGGGAAGGACTATCGCGCGTTGTAACGAGTGTTCTGGTGGTAAAGGCGATTAATGACTAATGATTTAGAATTTAGCAGGCCTACTGGTGAAGGAGAACTCGAGATACTCCAGAGTCTCTGCAGCGGTTTGGCAGAGAGCGATGTCTTCCTGCTTGCCAATGGCCTTGATCGTGAGGCTGTGGAGAGAGCGGCAAGGCGCTTCGAGCTCCGGATGGCGCGAAATGAGCTGCAGAATAGCTGGACTCGCCAAGACCGATAGGCCTTGCAGTGCGAGGCCGGTGAGAGGAACCGCATTTGTCGGCTGTTGTTCATCATGGAGACGAATGCCGCGGAAGAGGCACGTATTCGCAGCGCTGAAAGCCAGACCGACAAGGTCTGGCGATAGCTCATAGTGGGTTACGTGATGCAGGCCTGGTGTTTGACGGGCAGAGACCCCAAAGCGCTCCAGCTTTCCCCTTCGCAAGCTACGATGGGCATCCAAGAATAGGCGGACCATGTCTGCACGGACGAGAGCCTGAGCACCGACCGGCATCACGATCGGGCGGAATGGATCGAAGGGGTCATCGGTGAACGCGACCTCCCGTAAGCGCGCGAGCTTCTCAAACGCCATGCGGGCCGCAGTGAGCTCCGACTCCGCCTGCAAGTCGTTGAGCAGCACGGTTATCGTCCGCGTATACGCTGCCAGATGGGGTGCGTGGGCCCAGAGCGCTGTAAGTTCGGAGAAGACGCGCCACTTGGAGTCTCTTCCGTTGATAGTCGGCCGAGAGGAAACGAAGAGGCGAGCGAAGAGGCGTTTTTGGCAGATTGGAAGGAAACTGGGTGCAGCGAGGGAGCATAGCTTGAGCGTTCCCCACTCGGTCTCTGGAATAGCACTGATTATGCGCTCAACGAGCTCGACGGGAAGGTCAGGCATAGATGGTGGAAGTGCGAATACAAGAGTGTATAGTGCATGATCGATATCATATGTGATACCTGATGCCTTCCCGACTCTGACGTTCCACAGAAGTCACTAGGATTCAGGGATTACAAAGGAATGTCTGGAGACTCGTTTGCTAACCCGAAACGAACAAGAATGGCAACAGCGGCAATTCGGAGTGGCTACGAAAAGCACCTTCCAGTTGTTGCGTGGCGCGAATTCGAACCAGCGAAGAAGCACCCCGAATGTTCCAAAACCACCACTAGCCATCCCGCAAAAGCTTCGTACCGCCCCAACGCAGCGGTCATTTCACGATGGCTTGAAATGCGGAGCTGGTCTGGCTATCTAGAAACCAAGACAAGTGAATATGGAACAGAGGGACAACGATAATAAGTTGACGCGCCTGCATCCATCTGAATAACAGTCCGGAGAGCAACCACCCTCCCAGTCCGGCCAGCAGCGCCTATTTCGAAACGCCAGTTTACGAGCAGTGCATGCTTGGCAATAGAGGATTGGATTGGATTGCTGCATGAAGAGGCTGTTTGGCACAACTTGAAGGGCTAAATGAGCACCAAGATCGAAAACATTGGAGAAAACACACTCTTAGCCGATGTTCCTCTGTTTCCCTATCGCTGGGAACTAGTGTGGTTGTCAATGATGCGCAGTTTGGAGGGACGGCGGTGGCGGCTTGTGGGGGAGACATAATTGAGCAAGAGAAGCCAGAAGGCAGGAGAACGAGGGAAAAAATACACACATTGACATTGACTTTTCCCCTGCCCTGGTGTCAGCCGAAGCGATTCGGTCACCTGCGTGAGCGTTGGTCTGGTGGTGCATGCACAGGGTGTATGTATAGCATTCTGAGCAGGATCGAGATGGTCAAGAAAGAGAGAGTGATGTGTGACGCGCGACGATCTTCAAGTTTTTCACTCCTACATGTACGAGGACTACTACAACAATGCTGCCCATGCTCTCTCTCTCCTTCGTGGCCGTCGCCTACACGACCCTCCGCTCAACAGCGCCGCCATCTTGGAGCTCAGAGAAGAGGCAGAACGGGTCGAGAAGGCAATTGACGAGCTCAAAACCCAGCTACAACTGCTCGAAGATCGTCTCGAACTGCTGCAGGACGATCTAAACACCGTGATTTACCCTATCAACACACTCCCTGCCGAAATCCTCTGCCACATATTCGCGGCAGCGGTGTCGTCTACGCCTTCCCTCGAAATCCACCACACACTGTTGCAAATTACCGCGGTCTGCCAACGATGGCGGCGCACTGCCATCGCGGACCCACACTTGTGGACGCATCCCTCCTACTTCATTGGCGAGCGCCGCGATCGGCTTTCCAAGCACTTCCTACAACGCACACAAGGACTTCCAGTCGCACGCGAGAAAACCGGATATACGCTCCCTCGGTCCATATTTGATTCCGCTTCACAATGGGAACATGCATCTCTGTCAAGCACCAAATGGCCCTATGACTGGCCCGCCGACTCAGGCGCCATCGACTTCCCTCGGTTGAAAAAGTTTGCTTTCGATGCTTGGAGTCCCATAGAAGCAGACGAGCACCCTGAATGCCCCGTTACTTGAGGAGCTTTCTATCAGCAGTCCCAGCTTGGCATTACCGCTTTCATTCCCCGCACATCACTTGCGGAAACTCACGCTCCTGCGTCCGGCAACACACAGCGATACATTTTCTCTCCTCGCTGGGCTGACAGCCCTAGAGGAGCTGTCACTCCCGCCACTCCACCAAGAGATGGAGATAGTAGCATCTATACTACACATGCCCCGCCTGTCGACCTTGTCGTTGTTCGGAGATTCTAGCACGTCCCTCCTCCACCATCTCCTCTTACCCGCCTTGACAACACTCCATATTTCCGAGCTCGAGCATATCAGCATCGACTTCGCAGTTGACCGCTGCATCCGGCGCTCTGCCGCGCAAGTGACTTCTCTCACTCTGGGGACACCGAGAAGCTATGATGCGTTCAGCAGTCTGCTGAGCTCACTCGTGGTGCAGCAGGTCAGATCCTTAACGGTGACATTATTCGACATGAACACTGACGAGGCGCGGAAATGCGCTGCGGAGCTCGGACAACTCCACATTCTGACCGCGCTTGAATCCTTCACCCTCGCTATCCCCAGCTCCGCGTCGGGCCCCGTCAACATCCGGCCCTTCTTGGACGGGCTGGCCATGCGCGCTGCCAACGCGCTTGTCGCTGGCGCGCGGAGCGAGATGAAGCTCGCCCGCTTCATCGTCGAGTTTGCGCCGTATGGGATTCCACCCGGCGATCTCCGCGACTTGAAGCATCTTGAGAGAAGGCTGGGCCTCAAGGTCTCGATGCCAAACGGCCATCCGACGCGGGGAATATGGGAGGCCAGAGAGCTTGAAGGGGATGAGGGAACATTGTCGACGTCCGACTCCTGGGAGGGATTTGGTTGACTTAACGGGTTCATGGTATGAGATCCGAGTCTACTACATCACTATTCGATCAGAGCCATTATTATTATTGAGGGTCCATTTTGACACCTCGCGAGTTGGCAAAAACTTAAAAGAGAGGATATCGCAGTCCGACATCCCCAGTTCTGTGGTGTTTGGTGCCAACTTGAAGGAGGGGCGCCGCTCGTATTTCCTGAGTGTCGTTGAAGGGGGGCAAAAGTGAGAACACTGGCAACGATCCAAGATCAAAATTAATATTTCTGTGCACTAAGTACTAGTATAGCAATCAATCGGTCAGATTCGGTCGGGACGTCTCTACTGGTGAATGACTGCCAGTGTCCCCCGAGGCGGCGAGCTCCCCCCAAATATTTTCACTAGCTTCAGAGAATCTGCTTCCTTGGTTAATGGGCCCACAGCCCGTGCTGCTCGGAGCGCCGCATCCTCCAAAAAAGACATAGTCATCCGCAACGGGACGACGATGGTGTACTTGTAAATCCCGACTGGGACGATCATGATGTGGAGCACCATCCGCCCGTTACTCCGCCGCGCGCGGTCGATCCAGTCGTCAAGCGTGGGGATGTCGCGGAGCAGCTCGTCCCGCAGAGCATCGCTTAACTCGGTCGCGGGTTTGATTATAATTTGGTTGATCTTGGGCAAACCCTCCCGGTAGTTTACTATCGTCAGCATAACAGGTCGCGGGTCGGCACCCGCACGGGAGAGTGTCTTCACGGTTTCAACACGGCTAAAGCCCCCAAAGCAGTGAAACTCGGGTAGGTTGTCGCGGTAGAAGGTGTGCAACGTGACGCGGAAAAACGCAAGTTGGGCGCGCGAGAACATATTGTGCAAATCTGCAATGTGGTGGTGAGAACGTGAACTAGAGGGTAAAGACTAACTGGTGTATTCCACTCTTGAGGCTGCACATGTTGAACGGTGGTTGCCGTCGCGCCAGTCACTCTTTTGGCATATCTTGGAGCAGTACCGGCGTAAATAACAGCCCGAGCATCGTTTGAAGTTTGCCCGTCGACCGATGCGGTTGCACTGTTGGTTGAGGACTAGTGAGCCAAGAGGTAAAAAGAAGGTTCAGTCAAGCTCACAGGGGGGTGATCACAAGCGGCAGCTTGCTCCAGCAGTCGCTGGCGACTTTTGACGAGGATTTCCTCTTGACGCGAAGCCCATTCTTTTAAAGTAGCATAGATTGGAGCCAGTGGCGAGGCTGGATTATTCAAGATCTTTAGCAGACTGGACTTTTCAATCGCATCCAGTGATGCGCTGATGAGGGGGAGCGTGGATCGGTACAGCAGCCCGAGGGGTACTTGACTGCTGAGCAATCTCGTCAAACTTCCTAACAGCAGCTCATCCGGGAGGAAACGCGCGGTTTCGAGCATACGAGGAAGAGCGTCGAGGCGGAGTGCTAGACGCAGCGCACGAGGACCGGTAGATATGATGATATTCGTTACGTCGACCACTGAGCAGAGTGTCTGAAATGCGGGAGCAGACTTGAATGATGACAATTGAGAGTCGCTTTCCCGTTGTAAGTCCATAACGGTGCTCAGTATTCGCAGGACGTGTGACATAAACCCATGTGCGAAGAGATTGTCTCCAATATCTCGGCGGAGCGGGTCGCGTTCCATCATCACGTTGTTTGCACGGACGAGCAACAGCAAAGGATGAGACAGGAAAATCACAAGAGTGGGCGGGTGGGTGCGGATAAGTGGGAAATTGTCCCATGTGAACTCTATGTGGGCCTTGATGAGGCAAACAAGACTGTCCACCGTGCCACCAGCAGCGCCGATGAGGATGTCAAGTTTCGTCGAGTCAATGGATTGTGGAGACAGGAGTATGCAGCTAAGGACGAAATCGATGTCGGCATAGGGCGTGGCTCGGACACCTTGCGACCAGGCACTGACAAGGAGAGAGAGGAAGGTAGGTGTCGTCCAAAGCTCGTTGGTCTGCTCGTCACTGTGATCGGTTAGGTTATCCTTCATCCATTTGCTTTCCACCAGACGACCAAATCGCAGGAAGGAAACGAGCAGCTGCGAACGAGAGAGGTCACTCTTCAAGTTGATTATCCTTCCGAGCATGTCGTCTGCCGCCAGATGGTCGTGGAACTTGTGGATGAACTCCACCCATTCGATGACGAGGGGACAAAGTTCAACTATTTCGCCAGGGAGCTCTTTCTCTGTGGTTGACACAAACAGGCTGTGTAGAACTATTAATGCCCTTCCGATGCAAGCCTTCGTAGTCTGCGAAAGTGTCTCGAGCTCGGCGGCAGGTGGTATACGTGTAGGATCCAGAACGGCAAAGAAAACGGCGGAAAGAGCAGCCCGAATGCCGTCGTCGTTCACGGTCACAAAGCGATGGGTGAACTTCCGGTATTCAAAGTCGGAGCAGTCAGGACGGGTGGCGGCGAGTGCAATTTCCTACTTGATTGTGAGCCATCACAGCTTTGAGAGGCATGAAAGCTAGTGTACTCTGAGCGTGCTTGGCAGCTTGTGGAGGCGCTGTATTTGCTGGTGAACGAGTGGATGCATTATCCATGTGGTGGATCGAATTGAGAAGTGTGCACAGCCACTTCTTCCTTTTCTCTTACGGCCCACTACTACAAACGTTTAACGGGCGCAAATACGCACACGACGTTGTCCCTCGCCTGCATCTCGAGAGCTGTGGCACTGCTGAACGAGAAATGGTGAAGGAATAGGGTGGATTGAACGCTGTCAAACTGTTCTCGGGAGTGAATGCGTTCCTTGTGTAGAGCTCTGGATAATGGTGACTGGTGCGCGAAACCACATTTTATCGTGGAGGTCTGGGCTGACTTTCTTCTACTCCAGATACCCATAACCCTTGTCTTTGCCGCCATAAACTGCCACACTCCTCCTCAACGCGAGGGCAGCAAAAGGACGGACATCATACCGCTGCTATTATCACTCCACTGGATCTTGGCACATGTGCTGACATTTGGGGCCGGATTCGCACGGAGAGATGGTGCGTCTACGCAGTGCCTTAAACAGCTTCTAAGCAGATTTTTTAGATCATCTCATTTCGAAGTTTGCAGACCGCAGAGTGTGTCGATTCTCAATGACATAGGCGCTTGCCTTATCTCAATTCTTCTACCAGTCCTTCCTCCCGAATTCTTCTTCCACCACAACAACGCATGTCTACTTTGGGGAGCCTCCCAACATCCTTGCTTTGTCTAATACCCAATGCAAGACGAGTCTTCGGACCATTGAGCAACTACAAGATCCCGGAGATGGACCTATCCACCTCAAAACCACAACGTTGTCACCGGGAAATGGCAGAAATCTGCATCTGAAAGAGCTTTCGCGCGGACAGACGAATTGCGCTTCGGTCAGGGCCCGACATTGAGCCCCACACCCCACACGCGCATTTGATGCAGGATGAAGAGACTATTCGGGGTTTTTGGTGCGTGGCGCTCACCTTTTCTTTCGCTTAACTTATCGTCGCTGTCTATTTTTGTCGTTTAGACATCCTAATGCTCTTGCGCTGCTAGCAAAGCCTTGCTGGCTAATCCCAAGACCATTTCATCGCGGAAATCGCGATTCGCCAGCATACTAGTGTGTGAATTCACTCTACCTTTTTTAATGGCATATCCAGACACATACCCAGCTCTTCTTCCGGATAACACAGTGGCTCCTCCATCCTTTCCTTTCACGCTGCCACGCAGGCGGTGCGACAAACTCCGCACGGTGGTGTCGAAAATGTGCGCTGCTGCCACTGCATCTCTTCCATTGACCTTTGCATTGCTCTTGTATAGTCATGCACTATTCTTTTCTTCGTAACGGCATACCCACCTATTACCGGGGGTCCTGCATCAAGGTGTCGATGCTAAACGGCCATCCAACGCGGGGAATATGGAAGTCCAGAGAGCTTAAAGGGGACGAGGGAACATTGTCGTGGAAGGGATTCGTTTGACTTGATCTACTTGATCAGAGCCGTTACAATAGTTTGAGGGTCCATTTCGACACGTTGCGAGTTGGGTGGCAGTATGACATCCCCAGTTCTGTGGTGTTGGTCGTCAAGGAGTTGCGCTCGTATTTCCTGATTCTCGTTGAAGGGGGCAAAAGTGAGACCACTAAGTACCGTCACCACATGCTTTAGAACAAATCACGACATTTTTTCAAGTTATACCGGTAATGGTACGCAATTTTATTGACCTGTACAAGTTCAATCAAGTAAGCCCAACTTCCACCACCAGCCGACCCTGCTCCGCCTTGCGGCGCTGTTGCAAGAACACAGAATGCTTCGCGAGCTGTTTGCGCAGTTGGAGACCATGGACGGTAAACGTCCTCTGGGCAACGCCGGCGGATTCGATAGGGGGCACGTTGCCCCAGTACTGGACGAAGGACGTAATAGTGTCCAATAGCAGTTGGCGCTGTACGTATGTCGGGCCGCTGCCATGTTGAGCCGACGACAGCAGCAAATCGTCCAGCCCGTATGTGATCTCCTTTAGACGCGCAAAAACCAACTCGCTGGGCGCTGTGCTGTGCTTTAGACGCGGGACTAGGTTCATTACTTGGGCAAGCAGCTGGTAGTCATGCCGAGGGTATACTAGGTGGGATCGTTCTTTGAGGTCCAGCACGGCGAGGGCGGGGAGGTTGCCGAGCAGACAGGCGAGGCTCTTTGGCGACTCGGATGCATCAGTGATGTAGTGCAGCGCAAGCCTTGTTACGCTTGCATAGTGCTGTGCAAGGTGGTGGCCGACAACTTGGGGGTCTCTCCGGAAGGTACAATTGTTGTATATGGTGAGTGACTGGAGAGCGGGCGGCGCCAGTGCCTCCAGCAGGAGATGCCAGTATTCGTCGCGGCCATCGACCTTAAGCGCCTCCAGCCTGAGGCCTGTGCGGATGACTGGATCTTGGTGGGTTGTTTGCCCGAGGAGGCGGAGACTGACAAGTGTAAAGAGCTCAACGGAATTAAATACCCTCCCGGGGTCTGCCAAGTAACGGAAAAGTATTGGCTTGCTGGTACATGCGAGGGAGTCCAGCTTCCACCAATTGATGTTGTCCAGAATCACCTGCATATCGGGCTCCACAGGCTTGACAAGCGGGGCACGCGTTCACGCGTGGAATTGTGCTGGAAACACCTCAATGGATGACATTGGATGGTCGCTGAAGTCCGATCAGCCGATGATGGCCGATCACGGAGGAGTGATCCGAGACGCGACTGGGCGCGACTAGACACACTGGCAAGTACAGAGCGCCCTCAAATGCGAAGGAAAGAGGGACGAGCCCTCAAAAACGGGGTTCTGGGGTGCAAACCCTCAAACACGAAGATGAAACAAGGTGGCTGCGGCAGGGCATGTTTCAGAAAGTGGAGGCACTGTTGGGCAGTGCGGACAACCCCAGATTCGAGGGTGCGGGGAGCGCTGCGGAGGCCGAGGACCCTGCTGATGTAAGCAAGGGGAAAAGGTATATAATTAGCAGCTTTTGTACCTAGAAGACAGTGAATCGTAGCCCCACCTTTGGGTTAGATTTGGCTCACCTCTCTGATGGCAACAACGCGATAAGATAACGATAAGATAACGATTAGATAAGTGATCTCGGACCTTGGACTTGGCAACAAACGATATATTGGGACAACATATGAAGACAGAGACTTTCCGTCAACACTTGGACATACTAAACCTGTGGTCTATGTGATTAGATGAAGACTCCACTATGCACAGATGCACTTACCTTCATGGAACGTCGCCCTCTTTGGATTGAGCGACCCATGTTGGAGCTGTTTATGCCATTCTTGGTGTGGCAGTTGATGCTCTTGATGCTGGTGGTTTGGCTGTGCACAATAACAGAAAATGCAACAAAAACAAGAGAAAACATATCAAATATCAAAAACATATCAGATGTGACTGTGACTGTGACCACTACTGTTTTGGGTTTTAGTGTTGGTTTTGGGTTATGTTCATTTTGGAGTGGTTTGTTGTTGGGAGTATGTTTGGCTACAAGAGGCATACTCTGTGTGTCATACCTGCTCTCCTCTACATCCACACCCCCTTCCTCTCCACCCAACTCAACAACCCCACCACCACCACCTTCTTCATACCATCCACCATCAACACCATCATTGATCCCATCATTACCACAACCACACCTACACCCACACTTCTTATCCAACTTTGTCATCACCCTCATGTTGCTCTTATGGGTTGCAGCATGGATATACTTTCCATGGAGCCCCGAACACATCAACCATGATTTGTGTGTTTTGTTTGTTTGTGGAGTTGTTTCCGCATTCAGCATTGCTCGCATTTCCTGCGTTTCATATGGAGCCCACCGCGAGGGGCTCATCCACAAGAACAATAATGATGATCACAAGTTGAAACCTCCTCCATACACCCTCTCCAACACTTTTCAACCCCAAGACTCTGGCAGTCATCCTCCCTACTCACTTTTCAACCTCTCTGAATTTCTCTTGAAATATTCTGAAAAACATACACAAAAATTGGAAAACCCACAAAGACCCCAAAAACATCCAGAAAAATATTTGAATGAAATATCAGAAAAATATTCCAAACTCTTTGCCTCTGATAAATTATTATTTTCTGAAGGGTTGCAGGACAATTCTATCTCCATATTTATGGCAGGCCACTCCCGAATACCCCGTCCGAAACAGGCGCCAGTCCACACAGGGCCTGGTTCCAACACGCGAACTCCCATGCTAATGCCACCATTCCGCATTCCGAGACCCTGGGAGTCTCATCGGCCAACATTCAAATCGGATTCGATTGATGATCTTGCCGATTTCCTAGAGAATATGGGAACAATTTTCGAACTCGGCAGCCTTGCCGGACACCAAGAGCGGAAGGTCTTGATGACTAGTTATTTGCCAACACGGAAACGCGAGTTTTGGCGTGAACTACAGACTTACGCACCGGCCTATCCATACAATGCCTTTGAAGCGGAGGTTCAAGAATTATACCCCGAATTAACACGGCGACGCAATGGCCAGCTGGAGGACTTGAGAGAGTTGTGTATTGAATATGCCGGAGTGACGCTCAAGGAGGAAGGGCGTCTACGACGGTTCAGCCGACAGTTCCAGGTTTTGGCAAAGAAACTACAAAGGGCACCGTCAGTTTTGACGAATCGTGAAGCGTGTCAGCAATACCTGTGTACGCTGCCTGCAGCATCTGCCAACCAAGTCCGTCAGGGGTTACAAGACCAACAAGTCAGTCGATTTGTCCAAGAAGAGCTCGGTGTCCATGTCGCACCACCAGACAGGCGACGAGAAGATCCATATTCGTTGGAGGAAGTAATTCAGGTTGCTGAGCGGCTGGCAGCAATGGGAGACTTACTGGATATCACGAACATTAACAAAGAGATCTCCCCAGCGGAGTTTTACGAATCAAAGCCGAAGGATGAAGATCGCAGGCAGCTTCGAATGGATGTTAAAGTCAGCGGAAAAGACGCAAGCAGCAGTGAGTCAGCGTTCAGACCACCTCCGGGCACGACTCGCAACTACACCCCGGTGGTACCGACGCACCACAGACGAGCAAGATCACGTTCCAGGCTTCATGATGTTTGGG